ACTTAGATAAGAGGAATTAGGTAGAAATAAGTAAATATATTAAAATCTTATAAAAAAACTTAATAGATACAAATTGACTTTGTACATGTCTTTAGGCAATTGATAGGTTGAAAGTTTGACTAAGAAGTTGATCACATGTTGGATATATTGATCACTTGTAATATAAGTTGGTCATCTCATGTATATATAAGAAACTTAAATTATAAATTGGAGATATGTCAAGGATCTTATAGAACATTTCTACTTAGTTCCTTATTAGATAGTATATATAGAGACAAGAGTGAGGCCTTCTTTAGTCTTATCCGCTCTTTTTTTGTTTCTTTTAGTATATAGTTTTAAGAATCTCTAATTTTTTAATCTTTGATAATATTTATTCTAATTTCTTTCTAAATATATATACTTTCTTATTTTATATTTTATCATATCTTTTTTATATACCTTTTACTTTATTATTTACATTCTTTGAATTATTATCTTTGATACCAAATATATATTAAGCATAATTATGTACATAGAATCAGAATTAAGATCTTTCAGAGTAGTTAAAAAATTTCTTATTTTACAATAATATCTTGTTGCTTCCTTTAAGCTTTTCTTATTTTTTGATATATCAAAATAAAGATATTTGGATTGGTATTATAAGTGGTAAGCAAGTTCTTAAGTAATGATAAGAATATATTTTGATATTGTTTTGATGGATTTGAAATAGAATATATTTTATTAAATTTTAGTAAAGTATTTGTACTAAATTTAGATATATTTTTATGATTTTTTACTTTATTTTAGTAAAAGGAAAAAAACCTTCAATACAATGATTTATTTCTAATCAAAATTTATATCAAATAGATAAGTGTATATAATTATTAAAATATATATATATTGTTAATTTTTAAGTTGTCAAATTTAATTTGATCATTCATTTGATTATTAAATTCATAAAAATTTAAAACCATAGCTTTACACATTTTAATTTTTTGAACTCTTATCTAAAATGTGATTCAATATGGTTGCAATTTGAGATGCAATAAGGTGAAATTCTTCTAAAAAATCTTTGAATGAAATCAAAATTGGAATTTTAAAAGATCAAAAATAAAATTTTGCATCAAGATTCTATATATCATGCGGTTTGTAATTTAAATCTTTAGCTTGAAGCGTACAAAATTCAAGAGAAGATTTATAAGAAATTTAGATTTATACTTAAGGCATTGTTGTAATATAAGAATTAAGCTTGAAAATAGATATAAAAACCAAATATAAAAGAATTCTAATTAATCTTAAAGTTCTTCTTGTGATTCAAAAACTATGTGAGGTATTTGAAAATACTTGTCTTAATAATCTTAATTCTTGAAGAATCTTAATTCTTGAAGAATCTCAATTCAATTAATTGTAATTTCTAACAATTCTAATTTTTAATTCAATGCAATTATAAATAAGAAACATTGAGTTTTAAATAAGTCCTAAAAATATCCTAAATATACTCTATTAGTCCTAAGAAAATCTTAGATATATCTTGTTAAACCTTAATCAAAATCCAAAGAATCTTTAAGTAATTCCTATGTAATCTCAAATAAATTCTAAAATAATCCTATCAAATACACACAAAGTCTTAAGTAAGAAATAATTAAAGATTAATAAAATCTAATTAATTCCTAATCAAATTTTAAAAAAACAAAACTTGATAAATTTTTAATTAATTCCAAAGAAAAACTAAGCAAATTCCTTTGAAAAATCCTAAGTATATTTTAACTAATTTTAATCAATTTCTAAAAAAACCTGAACAAAATCCTATTTAAAATATTTAAAAAAATCTTAACCTAATTTCTAAAATAATTAACCAAATCTTAATCAAATTCTAATTAACTCTTAATAGATTCAAAAAAAAAAATCTTATAATTTTTTAATCAGTTGTTAATTTTACTTAAAACTTTATAAACCTTTCAACCTTCTATTTGATAATAACCTCAAAAAAATTAAAAATTAGACATATAGATTGAAAGAAAGTACAAACAAAATTGCTTTGACATTAAGAAGCTTCCTTCTCCAATCTTGATGTTGGATTCTAAGTGCCACAATATCCTTATTCCACCATTAATTTGATTCCAAACTTTGTGTAGATATTAAAATTTATATTAGCTATTAGTCAACTAAATTTTAACTCAATTTTAAATGCAAATTTTTGAAATACTTTAAAATCCTTATTGATATTCAAACTACCAACTATTAATATTCCAACCTACTTAAATTTCAAAAAGTTTGAATCTAACTATATTACTAAGTTCAAATTTGCATCAAAAACTTAATACAAATAAGTGCACAAATCTACCAAATTTCATCCATAGATCTAATACAAAATTCACAAAATTATCTAAAATATAAAATTTTATTTTATTTCTCAAAAAAAATTCACTCAAACAAAATCTTGACTTTACATAGCTCCTACAAATTGAATTTGCTCAAAATTAACATAAGTAGAATCTTTGTAGAGTTTTTTTTTTTTTTTTTTTTTTTTTTTTTTTCCAATTCCAAGTTTTAATTGACAATAGAACCTTGCATTTGATGCGGACACTTTTTTTTAGCCTTTGAATATGGTTTCAACCTTGATTCACAAATGGTCTTTTTTGGATATCAGCTAAAATATTTTTATTGGTAATTTTTTCCAAAATTTATCATTTCTTTTACTTAAAGATGTATAAGATAATTTTTTGTCTTATCTATTGTCTTTCTTTATTTATGAACCTACAAAGCAAGTAGAAGCACTTTTCAACAAAAGAATAGGATCTATATTAAATTTTTTACTACCTCTTATTTTTTATGAGTGATTTCTAAAGGAAATTTTTATTGAGTCTTCATTAAGGCACTTTTGCCCAATAGTTGCATTACAACAAAGTAATGTAAACTCTTGTAAAGAAGTCTTTGAATAAACATATTTGCAATCCAAGTTTTATTTTTGGGGTGAGATAGTTCTTCTTAGTAGAGTCTCAAGTCCTTTCTTTTAAGCTGTAAGACCAATATTGTTTGCTTTACCATCCACAAAGCAAGCTATAATTGTATCTTGATGGAGTTTAGCTACTGTTTTTTTAATGAGTTATTAAACAATAAAATTTTCATGTGGTTATGTCCTTAAAAGCAAGTAAGCATAACTTTGAAAAAATCCTAATAGTAAAGATTCACTTGGAGTTTGACAAATCAAATGCAGTTGGTCATTTTGGTAGTATAGGTCATAAGGTGTTAGAATCTCCCCCTCTTCATTAAGATCTGTTGGGAGGTTGAAATTAGAAGCAGCTACAGCAGTACAAATATTGATTCATTTTCTATTTACAGGTTTTGTTAATGTCTAGATTTGCATTAAATTAACATATGGTAATAAGAAGTATTATAATGTAATATAAAAGTTACATTTAATCTTCTATGATCTACAATCATTAATCAAATAAGCATAAGCTTGTACAAAAAGCAAATGTTTTTGAAGACTATATTATGGCACAATGTATTTTCTTCTAAACATACAGTTGTATACTCTACTTTAACCAAAAGACATTGTCATTTGATGCATTGAATCTTAGAAAGAGGTTTACAGAAGACTAAAACATACTTAAAAATTAAATTTAAGTAAAAGTATAATTAATAATTCTAAGGTGATAACATTTAATAATGGTTTTTAAATTAGCTACAACATTAAGCATGCAACACTTACAAAAAAACTTTATGCCGAATATGCCACAAATAACTTTGATCTGTATTTTATTTTTTTTAAATCCAAAAAAAATTGTCTATTGATCTAAAATAAGATTTTTATTAAATGTTTTTCACTTTCAAATTATATAGTAAATTATATATATATATATATATATATATTTTAAAATCAATTGATTAACTTGTGATGATATCTTTTTTTTCAAAATGTACTCTACTCAAATTTACATATGAGTGGTAAATTAAACCTAATTAATTATTTTAAAAAATAGTATTAGTTAGTCAATCTAGAAAATTTATTGAACCTTCAATAGCAAGATTCTGAGACAAGGTGTTAATTGTACCAGAATACTTCTTTGTTTCCAGTACATCAAAAAAAATACTTTAAGCCTGGTATTGATTTTTCTTCTAATATTTTTGTTTACATTTTTTCTTCTAATTTAAAAAGACAACATGAAAGAAAGAAAATAGAAAAATGATATAATATCCTAATAGATAGGTTTATTATAGATATTTTAATATTAAAAACACAAGAGAGTAGTGATAGTATTTTACTAATAAAATGCGATAGAATGCAAAATATTTTGTCGTAAAATTTAAGAAAAGTCCAAAGAAAACGATCTTGTTCTGACTCAAAATAGGAATGCAATTTTTATGTCAATGTTCTTGACAATGGGTTTTTCAAGTATGATAATACCTGCTAGGGCAACTTTTTGAGAAGTAACAACAATTACTTCATGTATGAATAATCCTCTCAAGTATTAGGATTGGATATACCCCATTTTCGTATGTACCCTGTTTGATACCAATAAATTAAAAGAAATAATCGTTCAGTTTCCAATTCATATTCCTTTATACACTTGAAACAAAGTATAACCGACTTTTTAACAATATAGGTTTCTTTCATAATAAATCATTAGATCAGACAATTAAATGTTAAATTTTAGTTTAAGAAGTGAATTTTATACTTTGTGAGTGTAATAGCTGACGGATATAATTATGAAACTGAGTAAGCATTGTGCGCACCGGGGTGATTAGCTCAATTAAATAATTAACAGGACATAAAGCAGTTGGATTATGATTGCCGAACAATGTAAGCGTTCATTAACCACTTTTCCATTCTTCGTTGGCGGGATAATTTAATATAATGGTGTGTGCTCTATGTTGCTTGTCAGATTCCCACCTTGCAAGCTTATGAAAACTGTCGTATCAGTGTATGTAATATTGTAGTGCTGTAGCTTGCCATGACATGTATTCCTCGTAAGAGGTAAAATGATATAGATATGTGTAGGTAGTAAAAACAACGCTATTGGGAATCGCAGTTACATGCACTCATAATCGCAGTTACATGCACTCTTTAAAGTTTTTACAGAGGTCATGATCATTTTACAGCCGGTACGACGTTTTGAAGAAACATATCGCTCGAGGTGAAATCTGAAAGTACTTCACATTTTAAGACACCAACCCTCACGAAACAGCAGAAAGAAGAATGATAGAACAGAGACGAATCGTGGCTCCTTACTGTTCAAAATTGATGGCTACAGAAGAATGGATGCCAGTACATTCGGTCATTCACCCCAAAACAAACAAGCAACTGCCGTGGAGAATAAAGATCAATTGCCAAGCTTTCCAAAGACTGTTAACTGGTGGTAGCATGCTGCTCTGCCGCAGCCTCCGCGACTTCCTTCAATGCTTTCAAAACCTTGCAAGTGCCGGTAGCAATAGATACGTCTTCGTACACCAGACCGTGTTTCTTACAGAACACCTCCACTCTAGGTGCTATTTTGTTTAAATTATGCCTGGGCATTGTTGGGAAAAGATGATGCTCTATTTGCCTGTTAAGGCCACCAGTGAACCAGTCGTTGAATATGTTTCCTTTGATATCCCGTGTGGATACGATCTGGCACAGCCGAGCACACAATGCTTACGATACAATCTGTGAGAACATTCTCCACGAAATTCGTGCTGATCACACTTCCTGATGGATGGTTCCAAATAGAAGCAGCACTTATTTTAAAGAAAGTATTTGGAGGTGACTATCGTATCTCTATCTCAAAGGGCCCACCGAGTACGCGTCGATCACATTCAGGGGAAGATATTGATTCTAATAATACAGGTAAATTCAACGACACAGAATAATCAGATGTGACTCACCTGTGCACTCACGAATTCTTTAGACGAATTATAAACCTCCATCCCATTGTGGCTAAGTACAAATACAAAGCCCAGCAGCATGCCGGACATGAGCTCAGTCACCGCCATCCATACTAATGGCTTCCAACCAGGGAGAAGATAGCACGCTGTCCCGACGAACCAAAAGTAGTGAAACAGAACAGTTCCCTTCTCCAACAACCTGTCGACAGGTGAGAGCACTGCTGTAGAGGTATATCTCCAGCTCCAAAAGAGCCAACTACCACGGGCGAAAAATAACAGACCCATGAAGAACAGATGCTGGTATTGGAGGATTCGCAAGAATGTCTTATTCTCAACTGTGGCCAGTATGTCCTTGCTCCAGGCAATGAGGGGGAGAGTATCAATATCTTCATCAATTGGTTGGTAAGTCTGATCGCATTCATTTGGAGCAGCATGATGAAGGTTATGCTTCTCCTTCCACCACCCTGTACTAAACCCCAGAACGGCGTTGCCGATCACATACCCGACAACTTCATTAAGCCAGCGTGTCTCAAACACCTGCACATTATAGAACGTACAAGATCAGACATGTATTCAAACGACCTTCTGAAAGCACAGCTGTGTCGACAGCTTATAGAATGGCATTCAGTGAATACGGTTTTCGAACCTGATTGTGGAGAAAATCATGGGATAGCCATCCGCACTGTTGGAAACACAGAGCCATCATACAAGCTGAAGCCAAAACCGCTGAAATAGTCTTGCTCCAACATATTATTGCAATGCTCGCAGCAAAAATAGCAACATTCGTGAGCAGCTTCATAACATAGTACAATTTCGAACTTTTGAAAAGTTGCTCCCTCAGGAAAAGAGCTCTCATTTCTCGGAAATCTTTCAGCAGCTCTGGAGTCGGCTCCACCCTCTGTCATAGTATTGATGGATGTAGTGTCAAGAAAAGCTAACCTGACTACTTCATTCACTATTAAACCCGTGTACTAATCTACTGAATTGGAAAAGCAAGTTGGTACAAGAAATCTACAGGAGCAGTGAACCAATTCTTGAAGATTAAAACAATCCTAAAAATCGCAAAAAGTGAAATTACACTAGCGTGAGGGTCGTGGCTTGCCTCCACGTCACCAATGTAAAAGTCTTGAAGAATTTTCCATGTAGAAGCTGCATGAAAACTAGAGAAAACATCTGTGCCGTCTCGTCCAAAATAAGTACTAATAACTGATCCTCCGGGATGCTCGTCCGCAAAATTGGAAACATCATACACCTGTGATTAACACAATAACCTTAATTGAGGGCAGCAATTTCCCCTCATCCACAAACAGATGCAACGGGGCGTAGCAATATCGCAAATCAGGATAACAGAGTCGGAATTACTCAACACATGCAACGCCGTTCATCATCATGATTAGCTGTATAACCTTGGGGAGGAACTACTTTTAAGAAATATTACCTTGTTTTTTACAACAATCCAGCAATCGCTTGGCTTGTTGTGTACTGCTACTTCTGATAGGGGGTGTGTCGACTTCTTCCACTGAGATGACCTTCGTCTCGTGGGCTTCACGACTGATTCTGCGAGTGCCTCCGCAGTTCCCTGGGTACTCGAATTTCTCTGAACTTCAGCTGATATACATTGCACGGCAGCGCTTTCCGAAACACGCTTCTTACTCGTCAGGCGCTTCAAAGGTTGTATACTGTGTACGCTCCACGAACCAACAGTTGAAGACACATAACTGAAGAAGTCGCTGAAGAGAGACATACTGGCAATGTGCTCGACGTCGATGTTTTCTTCGAGAGAGCCTGAGTAGAACATCCGCACAGCGATTCAATACAACGGTGAAACCTCACACGAGCAAAGCACGAGGAGGTAAATCGGAAAAAATCAATCAAAATATCTGTGAAGGTCGTTGATCGCATTACTCATTGAAGGCAAGCAGATACTGCGTAAATTCCGGAGATTAGGAACACGTAAGTAGCGCAGCTCCTAGGCTAATACCATGAGATGAAACACCTTGTCGAAAAAGCGAAGCGAAAATCTTACTCGCGTTACCGGTACATTGTAAAGTTTGCATCCAACACAGTGTCACTTACAATGAAGGGGTTTCACATCAGCAGATCTGAGCAAACTAGAAAACTTGACAAATCAGGTGAGTGTTTGACATGGAGGGGTAAAAGGCACATGCAAGTTGGTTTTGACTTCTGATAATAGCCATTGCATTGGCCACACGGGTGTAAACAATCGAATCAGACTCAAGCTATACAAAACCGAAGTTTCTTCTGATGTCTCACATTCCCCGATAGGAAAAGCAAAAGCATTCTGATCAGGTGAGCGAAGGGGTGGGAGGAGGCAAGTTCTACAGGTCACACAAGAAAAGTGGATCTAAGAGGGCCATGAATGCATACCCTGCTGAAGTCCACCGCCCGCGAATACCATTTCAAAAGCCGCTCCACAACAACCTCGTCATACACAGACGCTCTGCGGCAGTCGGGGCGCTGCACGCACACTCACAGATCCTGAGTCTCCCCCGCTCTCCACAATGGCAATGCCCCCGACATAAAATCAACAGTCTCCTGCCGAACCTATAGCCTTCCGAGCCGCAACAGAGCTAAAAAGAAACAGTGTCCAATAATAAACTGCCTGTGCAAACACCATGCTCGAACCGAACCAAACCAGACCACTGCAATAAAACCGAAATATAAAGAACACAAATGCCACGACGAGTGCACTACGCCAACTCCAATCCTCCCTTCAATACTGCCTCTGCGAACGATGGATACCATTCCACCACATTGTCTCTCAATGACCAAGGAACTGGAGAAACACGTACTTTGCCCGCTCCAAAACCCGGAGGTATTGCCGCAGTAGATCCTCGGATGACGACTCCACCAACGCCCGCGCATCTGCCTCCTCCTCCAACACCGTCCCACACAATGCAGGCGGCCCTGGGCGGGCGATGGCTGATCCGCGACTCGGAGACGACAGCAACGGCGAAGAAGGTCGCAAGTAAGGAGAGGGGAAGGCCATAAGGGGAACGGGGCGAGGTCCTTCCTGACACGGAGGGAGGCAACGGGTCGGGTCGGGCCTGGTATGGTCTGATGCGCTCCAATAAGAGATTTTTTTCCGAGGGGAGGGGGGGTGCGGGGGCGGGACGGGGGGAGGCAGACCCGGGATTTGAGTCTCAACCTCACGAGCGACGCCTCCAACGCTTCCCTGTCTCGAAGTCACCGCGCCTCGTCGTTGTCGTGCGATATTTTCAAAGGCAGTGGGGCCCCTGCACAGCAAGGGCCGGGTACGCCTGGTCCTCTCCGCTCGGGATCGCGGGCATTCTGTATTTTTGAGGCCACTGGTTGCCTTATCGTAGCCCAACGAAGTGCCAGTGGGTGAAGGGAACTGAACCTCCCAGGGAACGCGTTCCCGTGTCCCCTCATTCATTCCTGCTTTTCATTCTCCGTGTCTTGTCTGGTCAGAGAATATCCCTTCACTTCCATTAAACTAGTGGAGGGGAGACATACATCCCCACACACTTGAACACCCACCCCCTCCCCAACACGTACATTTACCCTTCAGCCCCCCATTTCATTCGCTTTCCGTTTTTTTTTATTTTTTATTTTTATTATCAGTCAAAATCTCACTGTCACATCAACTCTAGCAGTGAGAGACTGTGGGGAACCGGGTTGGGAAGGCATGATTTGAATGCCTAGGGCTTGGCTGATTCTTGTGCATTAACGCCCACTTTTTTTCTTTCTTCTTTTTCTTTATTTATGGTGCTCTGTCCAAAATACATTTGTGTGAGGAAGTCATGGAATAAATTGGATCCATTCGGCCACATGTGGGTTTGTGGATACTGGGGAGAACAAGGAGAAGTGGTGTGATTGGGGGTGCTGGGCAATAAAGGTCCCCCTCACCTAATTTTAGCACCTGGAATTATTTCCGAGCAGTTCCAAGTTGCTGAATTAGGGTTGTGGCTTTTGAGCAATACTGACGAGACAATGAGGGCGTCATGTTTGACCTTCAACTGCCTTCACTAATCAAATGCTGACTACTTTTCATCCTTGTCATCAAAATGCAGCTGTCACAAGTTGAAGCATAGAGGATGTTTATGATACTTTTTAAGGGTGTGAGCCTCTTCATAACCCCTCTACATCCAAAACAAATTAGTGTGTCAGTGATAAAATAACTGCACAACATTCCATGTCGTTTATTTCTATTTTAAGATAAGTAAAAATAATGATGACTTAAATTATTTAAATTATGACTTTTCTTGAAAAATCCTAATTTCTCTAGAATAAGTTTAGCAAGAATTTCAAGAATACATTTGTAATTCATTTAAAGATCAAGAAAGTACTCATATTCATGATCAATTGGGATATTATGGACATGGTTATTGGTGACATGTTGTTCAATGCAAATAATGAAGAATTTGTGCCAACTTTTGAATGGGCATTGTCAATTTTCAAGTTATTCAAAGATGCATATAATAACCAAGTTGAGTTCAATAGAGAGCAAGATGTGAACTGCAAGCACATAAGGTAGAAATTAATTCTTCATAGTTGTTCCATCTCATGATCAATTTTATCTCCTATTGAGTCTTATTCCAAATGGCAATACATCCTGTGGATGTCATAAAGATTGTGTCACACATAGGTTGCTTTAATATGACAACTATACAACTTCATTTATGAAGGTGGTTTGTGCTATGAGCTTACAAAAATTCACCAAACTCCTCTACATGCATTGGGTGTTTTTACTCACTTTTAACATTAGCTCAAAGCAAGGCACATCTTACCTTGACTTTTGAGTCTAATTTGACCATCAATCAAAGTTATACAATATCTATCTTCTTGCCATTCTGCTTTTCGATTATAATACAACCAAAGTAACTTTCGCTACAAGTATAAAACTTTTGGATGTTGTTGCTTCAGAATAGAAGATACAACTATTGAAATTAGTAAAAATGGTGAGCGAACAATGACTGGACAAATTTTTAGCGTCGTGATAATGATGGTCAAGGTGGATAGTGATGAAGTTGTGTGGATGTGGTGTACTCTACACCAACTTGATCTCGTGGTCCATGCTGAGTACATCAAGCTATATGATGATTAATTTATCAACATTTTGATGGACCTTGTTTGTTACCTTTGTTGGTAGTATAATCTCATTGGAAGGATGGATTGTACATGCCCAAATTTCATAGACATACATTAGTTGTCCATAAAAAAATTGAGTAGATTTTTGCAATACGAATGCGTAGTGCTTTGTAAATACCTTGTACAGAAGTTTTTTACATATATTCTTCTTTCTTTTTAATGGATGATATTGCTTGCACTCAATGATATTGTGGAGGTAATCTCCACCACCATAATATGCTTGCAAGGACTCAACACTCTTTTGAATCAATAAAAAGTCCAACACAAAGGCTTGATTCAATCCTTAGTGGATTTATGCAAAGTGCAAGGTTTACATAATACAAAGACTTTAGTCATGGCTTACGACACTTTACATCTGACCATTTGCGAATCTTAGTATGTAGCTCTGATAAGTGCAAAGGCTTTGATTTAAGATCAAGGTACCTTTGTGATAAGCCTTATGATTTTGTAACCTACAATCAAGGCCAAGGCTATGGTTTATAACATGGCTATCTTATTTGTTGGGCTCATCAATGGTATTGCATTCATTGTTATCTAACACAATTACAACAATAATGCTAGCAATGAGGACATTTTAAAAGTATTATCTTGTAATTTGTGTGTACTATGGACATCTTTGATATGCATTTCTATTTGTCGACACAAGCTGCAATTAGAATCAGCTGGGTTGAACATTCAATCCATTAAGGATATTGAAAATAACCACCAAGCCATGGTACGCGCCTACTATGATGACTTGACCTTTAAGGAAGTCATTGACAAGTACTCTAATTTGTAAATAGAATTTCACATTGAATAGGCTTATTACGATGGTCGATTTCCACAACTTCAAATATTTTGTAGTGGGCTAGCTTCTATTTTTTCTAATACAAGCATAGTCAAATTTGACTTCATTGTGATCCAATGGAAAAAAGAAAAGTATTAGCAATGCGTCATAGACTTCTTACTTGAGAGTATTGTGCATTCTAAATAATTCAACAAAGTGTGTCAAATTTGATAAGGATGGATGTTTTTGGATAGTTCTTTGGATGAATTTCATCCATTCTTAACTTACCTAAAATAAAACCTAGTTTCAATCCTAAAATAAGCTAAATTAGGTATTTCAAGGAAAGCCCTAATTTAAAGAGACATGATCATAAATCATGATGGGTACCCAAAAACAAATGAGGGGGGGAGGATGGAAATCGACAAGAATCAAATAAACATTATCTTCATGAATGTTTTTAGAAAGAGGTTGTTTTCCTTTTTCTTTTGTCTGTGTTGTACATTACAAGTGAGGGTGAAAATCCACCATCAAATCATGTACTTCGGTGGTTAACAATACCTAAAATTGTTTGTAACTTTATTTGAAAATCTTTCCACACACTGATTGTTTTAAAATCTATTTTGTTTCTTTTTTCTTTTTTCTTTCTCTTTTTTGTTTCTGTTTTTGTTTGCTTGCAGCTGTCCAGTTTGCCCTTTGTTGGGAAAGGTGGAGAGCACATTCCCCACTATGGCTTTGATCAGCAGCAAGTGCCCAAAAGGGATCACACCACTAGATTCTATTTTGCAATTGTAGAGGTAATCTACCACAAAAGGGGATCCCACCATAATGTCCACCAAAGCAAGTTGAAGACAATGAGCTCCACTCTGACTTTCACATCACCATTCTTCCCATTCTCATACTTTCATCTTCCTTCACAAACCCTTGCACAACATCATTTATTAAAACTTTCTCCCCTCCACACATAAACTGTTGTGTAATGATAGAATTTAAAGTGATGCCTATATGTACAAAGTCAACACTTAACTCAACTGTATAGTGCTACATTATTATGAAAGTTAAGTAATGCATATACATACAAGGTCAGCATTTGATTATGAATGTATGTATGTGAATTACTAAAATAAACTGAATCATTTCCTTGTCAAATTTTGTTATATTTTACAAACATGTATCAATTTAATAGTCATATGTTTTGAAAATGAAAGTTTTTTTTTTTTTTTTTTTTTTTTTTTTTTCATGCAAAAAATGTTAATGTTTTATTCATTGATTGAGATTTAAATTGTCAAAAATATACTTGTGTCTTAGGTTTTAAAACAATCTAATATTGTGCAATGGTTACATGGTATCATTACCAACTTATAGATTGTTGATAGAGGGTGAAAAGGAGAACCCATACATTAATGAAGCTCTAATGTTTAATACTAGGTGTAGATATATACAAACAGGTTTGAAGAAAAGAGTTGAGATTTACAGACTAAAAAATATCGGTCTTGAACCATTGTCAGTGTTGGCTCCAGTAGGCATGGATGTGGTACAAAAAGAAAAATAATTTTAAAAGTTCATAATTTTCTTTACAATAAATTATTACAGAAAAGATAAACAAATAAGTAATATCTTACATTATACTCATAACAAAAAAATCTCAAAATAGATTTATAATTCAGAATTTGGTATTGCATCCCATTCTACCAATCACTGCGAATATAAGTTCTCACCAAGTTTATAGCCACATGACCCTTTCCTATATAAACCTCCACTCCAAACATTTCATCTTGGGTTCTTAAATCTAATCTTTGCTCTTTCTAGAAAAAAAACATTTTGCAAATTATTTTCATATGCAAGTTCTGACCTAGATTAATTCTAGTATCAAATTTTAGAATCTGATTCACACAAATTACCACAAGCAAAATACAACTTCAAGTTCCAATCTTAGGGTTTGAAATGTTTCATTTGAGGATTAAAAAAAAAGAAAAAAGAAAAAAAAAAAACTAATAATTGAACTGAGTAAGTACATAACAAAAATATAAAATGGTGATGTCATTGTAACTTTTAAAGTGAATCTCTAAATCTGTACTTTTTACCAAATCTTTTCAAGAAATTCTCAAATTTATCATGTACCATATTGCCCACAATTATTGCTCATTCCCACCTGAATTCTTCACA